GCCACGTACATATTTTTTTTTTTTTTTTTTTTTTTTATATTCATCATCGCCCCTTAAGGGCTCAGACATGGCTATTTTGACACCATAAAGTGTATTTAGCCATACGTTGGGTTTAATAACAGTAGGAGGAAACGGTAGATGGATCGGTAGGTTTATTGAAGTACAACTCCCATCCAGAAAAAAACCTCATTCAATGATGAAATTTTTGTCCAGAGTGGGATTTGAACCCCGGCCATCAAGATCTGTAGGCAGACACGCTACCGACAGAGCCATCATGTGGCTCCACGTACATATATATATACATACGCGTATACCTATACACTGCAGAGGGAGGCGAAGCCTCGCAAAATCGAATCTGCCGCTTAATACGAGTATTAAATGGCCGAGCTGCGAAGAGCGCACATCGGCAATGCTGCGCTGCATCACCGGGTGCGCGCCGCCTGCTGTTGCCAGCCCGCGTCCACTCGAATTCGAGTTTCTCCTCCATGTGTATTTTATATGTGTATATGTATAGCTGGGGTGCGTCCGAGCCGGCTTGACTTACCAATCAAAGCGCGCTGTAAAGTCGTAGGCTTTCTCGGAATTTTTTTTGCCTCCGAATGTAACTCGCTCGAATGCCTCGTGAAGCTCCTGACGTTTTATATAGATTTATAGACATGTACACATATGTGTATATGCATCGTATTAATTGAAAACGCCCCTTTTTTTTTTAATTTTATTTGGTCGCGTTTTTTTTTTTTTTTTTTTTTAACATAGGATTTTCGAAAGAAAAAGGAATGTCCACGAAATAATAAAATACGTTCGTACCTATACTTTATTGAATATGCATTTTAATTATATTGAACTGGATAGGGGCTCAAAACTCGCTCTTTTTTTTCGAGTTACTTTTTAATGATGCCGATATATGTTCACCTATATTCTATTGTAAGCTCACAAAAATGAAAAAAACATCGATGTATTAAAAGGCCGTCCAACTCGTTCTCACATATGTATATTATATTACACTGTGATGTATGATTCCCAAAAAGAAAAGGGAAAAAAAAATCATTTCATTCGCACCACAGATTTTCCCTCTCGAGTTCGGATGTGTATTTCCATTACCACATTTCCGGGTAAATCCCCACCTTTCTCCGGTTAACGAGAAACATATTTCTCTATTGGCCGGCGATCGATATTTTTGGCAAAGAGAGAAAAAAAAAAAAAAACAGCGAATGCCGGGGCTTTAAAACAAGAGAGAAATAGATCGAGGAGGAGGTGGGGCCCGGGGAGCAACTAGTACCTCATATACTGCAAAAATTCCCAGGTGGTGCTGGGGCACGCGCGTACGTGTGTGTGTGCCACGCCTTGGTTGTTGGATCAATCGTGTTGGGATGTGTATGAGAAAGCGGTGCCTCTCAGCTGATGAGACCACAGAGATGCCGCTGTGTATGCTCCACTGAAGACGAGGAGGAAAAAAAAAAAAAGATGTGAATCCAAGTCTCAATGTCGTAGGGGTCGATGGATCCCCTCCGGGGAATTCGGCCAACTCTCTGTGTTCTTCTCTCCCTTTTTCTCTACGGAGACATTCGCGTACACACACACACACATATGCAATATATGTACAATATAACATACAGCGCTCAAGTTACACACATTTCCTCGATTCGTCCCCTCGCAATTACCCACACGCGCATACATCCCTATGTATATTGTATATATACATGTATATTGTTACTTGGGTCTTGCAGAGGATGGCCGTGGGTGATGTGTACGGCCCGTCCGACTGGACTCTCATACTCGTGATATCTTGCGAACGCAACGTCTGGCCATAAATTTATGATGAAAGATCAATCGTCTCCTTTATTCTTTTTCCTCTCTTCGTATCCGTTGATTACGGTTAATTTATTATACTTTTTCTTAAACAAACGTTATATATTATATGATCAACGTGATTTTTCATTATTATTCTTTCTTCGGTAACGATTTTTCGTTGTTTCGAGATGAGTGTACATACGCGTCATTGGTACATCTGTAATGCCGGCTTGGGTAAATATAGATGTTTCAATTTCAATGGGCTGGTGTGTATATTTTGCACTTTTTGAAACTAATATGTTACTATACAACACCTATGCATATATTATACAGATACTCGGGCACGTAAGGTATTAAATTCCATACGTTTTAATGTACGCATATGCATGATATTTTACAAGAAAATTGAAATTCTTTTCATACATTTTTACAAGGTAAAAAACAGAAAAAACGAGAATACCCTACATTATTGGCTTAGGATGAAAATGTTTCACTAAACTTTCCATTTTACGTTTACCGCTGACATATCTCGCATACAGTTAAACTCACGCACATCATATATACAGGCGCTGAATAAAATGGTGCAACAAAAATATACAGCTAATTAAAAAGCTTCACATCCGCGTCAACCGTAATTTTGTCACATCACTCATCGCCCTTTATTTTCAGCTCCACTGTGTCCTGGCACATTATTATTGACAACTACTCCCGTTGCTGCTATACCTGTACACGATAAACTTGTATTCTTGCATACATATGTATACACGTATACCCATACGGGTACAAGCCGAGATACGGATCTCATGAATGATATTGTTAATATACAGATAGTCGTGTCGGCCAGAGTGCAGCCGCGTAGCATTTGTAGTTTATTATGCATCGGAGATGCAGACGAGGATATATTTATAAGAGAGGCATCGGCTCGTCGAGCATTATTTCCTCCTCCCACCTTACTTCCGTGCACGCGTATATATATATATATAGCCCTCACTCCTTTTACTCCTCGACTCCCGCCGCTTCATATCGATTCAACTGTTTGTACGGCATCTCCGTTGGCGTTCGCTCTGCCCACCCGGCCCACCCGCGAAAAGACTCCGAGATCGAAGAAACGAGGTGACGAAAGTACCCTTTTTTTTCCTCTTTTTGGACAGCCGTATTTGGAAGAAGTAGCAGCAGTCTCCAGAGATAAAGAGAACGTTCAGTGTGGCGATGGAGGATGAAAATAAAAAAAAAAAAAAAAGTACCTTTGCTCATTGAATCGAGCCTCTCTTTTTCCCTCCTTCTACCGTTTCTAGATAAATACATGCACACATATAATTATATGTAACGTACGTGTTTGCATAACTCTTTCTCTTAAAGTTGATGTGCTCTCTTTTTTTCTTCTATGTACTCGGGTATAGCTTTTTTTGTTATATTCCCCGTATATGCGCGTTTTTGCACGTGCCATTTGTCTTTACAAATATATATGCCCTATTGCATCGCGCTTTGGTCTTTGCGGAAAATACTTTCGGTATACTGTACATACGAATACATATATATATATATATATAAATGCCAAAAGTCTCTTTACGTATATATAGATATATATGTGAAAATTATACGCAAGAAACACAAAACTCGGTGTTTGAGCGATAAACTGGTGGTGAACTTTCATATCACCAGTGCAGTGGCTTTTTATTGTGCTATACACGACAGTACTTAATTCCTGCGTTACTTTTATTCCAGCGTAATACACATTTTCGTGAGAACGTAAACTTTAACTTTCAAATTAACACCACAAATTTATTTTAACTATTCGTGGGTCGAATACTATGTATTCTCTTTTTGCCATCAGCACGTGCTCTCGATTCCTCGTACGAATGAACGACATACACCGTGCGCATCTGCAGGTTTTCGAGCCCGTGCTCTTTCGCCAAACGAAAATCAAAAAAAAGGAGTCACATTTCCATTTGAGTTTGGGAGCGAGAGAGAAAATAGAGAAGAAAGAGGGGCTTTTCAAACTCCGAGCCCGGCGATGAACAACATAGCTGTGTACGTATAAAATCAACACCAGTTGGACGGCGGAGGGTCCCCGCGCTCTGTTATCTCGTTCCCTAAAATAACGCCGCGCTTTTGGTTTCGCTGAAAATTCGCACCCCTTATACCACGTATTGATTCAAAACTAAGAGGATTTTCGCTCTGTATTCCTCTCTCTCTCTCTCTCTCTCTCTTTCGCGTTTGATTTAACTCAATCCAAACGGGGAGCAAAGAAAAGAGAAGAGTGCCTACGCTGCAGTAGCACATACATGCTGCAGCAACAAAACAAGGTACGATGGGAGAGAATGAAGCGGAACAGTGCGGGGCTCCCTTCATGGAAAACATCGTCGGTATATGCAAGTACAAAGGCCAATTGAGAAAATGAAAGGAGCAAAGGCTTATACACAAAGATAATGGAAGTAAGAAGAAGAAAACTAAAGAGAAACGATATCGCGGACGAAGCGAGAGAGAGAGAGAGGGTGGGGGATACGGTAAAAAAAGGAGCAAGTATACGTACAGAGACTTAGGCGAGACGAGGCGAACGAGCAATGGTCTGGGGCTATACATATATATATGCTACCCATAGTCCACTGCACGATGTAACAGTATTATATGTATATATATTTTATATACGCTAGTTATATACAGGTATATAGCTGTGCTAACTATAGTGTGTGCAATATACGCCGGGCGCCATGTTTTCCCCTCCCGCTCGTGCGCGCACCGCCACCTACTCCACAATTTCCATTTTCCCGTTTGTATGTATATATATGTATACAACCGCCCCCGAGCCAGCTCTGCCCGCTGCCGCCGATGTGCTCCTCCGAGCTCTGCCTCGCTCAGTGCGAGCCGCGTACGCGACGCGCCCGGTTTGCTCGCTCGTTCGATTTTACGACGAACCGGTGAGTGTGTGCACCGTGTGGTTTTTTTAAATTATTTTTTATTCCTTTTTCCTCGTCTCTCATACGTGCGAATTGATAACGAGGCAACAAAATCAGACGTCGTGTGCGGTTGTTCAATTGTGCGGTCAGTTTGCCGGTGTACTAATTTATAATTACTTGGGTACATTATTATACTTTTGGAGTCGCCGTGTCTGCTGTATACTCGACGTTCGGAGTTCTTCGAGTTCACTGGACGCGGCTGTGTGCGTGTTGCGTGTGACTCTTCTACGCCACCTTCCTCTCGAGCGTGACTACAACTGTATATTATACTTATACACTCACTCCGCTCGTTGTTTCCAAGGTTTAAGAACGATTGGGTGTTCGGAGATTGAGAAATCGGTGAGTTGTTCCGAAGAACGTTACCTTTATCGCGGGTTATCCTTTACTGCATAATATTATCCCGTTGAGCTATACCTGCCTCATCATCTCTTGGAGTTTGCTTCATTCAGTTGCGGTTGTTATCTCTATAACATTTTGGAATATCCCCCGTCGGAATATTTGCCAAATGTATCGCTTGTGCTACAGGAAGCACAAAACCCACACGGCGGTGCATTACAGCATAGGCGTGTATAGGTACTACCCATCCGGCCGACTGGAGTGCGCTAATTTCTCTCGGCGTTCAATCACCGGTGACTAATTGCCTGTCCGAGCGAGCGAATGCCGGCTGATGCGCTTTTTTTTTTCGAGCTCAACGACCTGTACGGGTATACCCACGCAGTGCTGCTTTTTTAGTGATCCGCCAAAATAAGCTGGTAGTGGAAGCAACCCTGACTTCGACTGATATCGCATTACATTCGACGATTTAAAAACTGACAGCGAGGCCAGTACTCCCTCCCGGTCTATTAATAAACATTGTCTGCGTGCCGTCTCGGATTCATTTGTATGCAGCTCTCTCGCGCTCAGCTTCTGCCCGGCACTGTTTAATATATAATATATATATACCCCTGGGTGTACAAGTGAAAGATCGACGTCTCGCCGAGCTTTCTTTCGTGCGATTTCTCCTCTCCTTTTTTTTTTTTCTTCTTTTTGGTAGCTCTCTTCGAGAGGTCTCGGGAAAAAAAGAGAGCCTTCTCTCGACTCGAGGGCCTTACAGTCGTCCATGAAATATTCACGAGCTAGCGTATATATTATACACTCGGGCACTCGTACTAACGAAACCGGCATATTACAATCGATGGTAATGCCAATTTACACTTCCGCACGGGGTAATATATATTTTGTTTTTTCTAGCCTGGCGAAGTAATTTTTTTTTTTGTTTTCCCCGAAAAAACCTCAAAAAGTAAACACGAAACTAGATTTAATAACGGGCAATCCTCGAGTGGAAGCGCGTGAAATAATTCAATATGAACTGGACAAACGCGCGCGGGGGGGTAACGACTGAAACAATTGGGGGGGGGGGGGTAGGCATTACATGGAGGAAGACGAAAAAAGTAAGTGCACACTGTACCGTGTTGTACTTGGTAGTGCGAACGCGCGAAGAAAGGAGAGAGAGGCGCCGATGGAAGTAGGAACGGCACGCGCGGTTTATTGCTCGTTCGGGGAAAAATAAAAGAGAGGAAAGGAGCTTTCGTTGCGAGGGAAACGTGAGGATGATCACCGTATAGTACACGATCCTCGTTCTCGTCCGAATTTCATTATTTAGCGCTTCCGTACCTTCTTTCTTCCTTTTTTTTTTGGCTCACCCTCGCGCGCAACAAGTTGCCCCGTTCAATTTTTTTTCCCCTTTATACATTTTCAATCACCCTGTTGTAAAATTCACCATTGCGACTGTTATTTACCCAAAAAAAAGCGCTCTGCAGATCACACCAAGTTGAGACTATTTTTTGTGCTTCTGTACGCTTCTTTGTCGAGTGTCGGCACTTTGATGAAAAAGAATCCACGCGCTCGTAGATCCCCATTTATTAATAGGAGCATCGGACACAAAGAACGGGAGGGTAAGGATATCCCGTCTCCCCGACTCCATACTCCCGCACGACACACCCCCGTTCACATATTCCGCACGAATGCTGCGAAAGATCAGCGGATCTGCTGCTGCGAGATAAACGAAGACGGGAATAATATATACGTCCCCCCCTCCCTATGTATATTATACGTTCCGCACTCGCGTGTACAATAAACCCCATAGTCGAGTAGGGGAGGCTTACACGCAAGGGGGAAAAAAAAAAATAAAGAGAGAGAAGAAGTAGTGTGGTACAGCAGGGGTTTAACTCGCGCGATGGGTGACTGAGCGTGTAGAAGTGCAAAGAGAGGCACGACGACGTCTATATGCCCCCTCGACAGCAGGTGTCGGATGATCCTCTCCTCTGCCGCTCGATCTGAGACTCTTCTGCATAAGTACTTGTATATACATATATACATAACTCCCGATCTGCACGGATGGTGCGATGTCTCTTGGAGCGTAATATCGTCTACTTTTTCTTTTTTTTTTTTTTTTTTTGCGTACCTATCGTTTGTGCACATGATAAACGCACAGCCCAATGCCGTTTCCACTATTATCATACACGTGAGAGCGAAAGCCTCGGCATCCGTTAGCTCATTTATTTACTTCTTGCGTTATATTATCTCCGAAGATGTTTACTCGAAGGAACGACGCGGACGATGTACCTATATGTTTCATATACAATACAATATGTCGTTATCTTCGATTCGGATGAGTTTATCGGTGAGCACCTACTCGGTCTCGTGATAATGATCTTACTTATTTTTGTTTGATATCGTAACCATAGACACGTATAAGCTACACTCCGCGGGACGAGCGCAAACTCGATAACTTTCGAAAGCTCCGAGCTGTCGACGCGCCAACGAAACAAGAGTATACACCCTCTCGGATCCCGTGTGCATGTTTAACCGTGCGCGCACACACGGATAAGTAAGCGCGGATCGTGATCGGCATCGGCAACGGCAACGAGAAAAAAGAAATAAAGAACTGTGTGCGCGGACACAAAGAAGACTTTGGCAGCAACAGCCGATATGTCTCTCGGTGCACGCTGTAGGTACGTGTTGTATATATATATATTTATTTTTTTTCAGTGACAACGCTGGGATTTACCATCATGTTATATATATATACATGTACCTTCGTCGTCTCGGGAGCTTGCGCGCTCGAGGGGGAGCTCTTTTGCTCCTTCCTTCCTCTCTTCCTCGGCTCCTTGTATCCTCCTCCTTTACTTTACCCACCACACGCAGCGACTGTCACTCGCACAGATCCGCGCTTCGGTGTGTGTATGCGCCTTCTTAGACGTCGCTGCACGTGGGACGCCCCCTCGCTTATAACATATACATGTATACGAGTATTATACACAGAGCCACGCGTTACTTACAGTCCCGCGGATGTGACTCTTGAAAATCGGGGCTGAACAGCTCCGTCTGCGCAGCGTTATACGTCGCCACGCATGTGCGCGCCCTCATCCTCTCGCTACCGTCACCGCCAGACTGCTCGTATGAAAAAAAAAAAAAAAAAAATCTAAATGGTGGATTCCCTTCTTCTTCACTTTGGCGTATTTTTGCCCCGCTGCCTTTCAGCCGTGCGTATTAGCTCTTTTTTTTTTTTTTTTGCCACTCCGTCCTGCCCGCGTGCTCTTTGAGCTGGGGAGCTTTGACCGGGTCACACAAAGCCCATTGACGAGGGCTTGACAGTGTCACTCGCGCCTCTCCTCCCATCCTCCGCGACTCTTGTAACATATACCTACACACGCACTGCTCCTCCTCTCAATCGTTTCGCACGCCAGCGGTGTCAACTAGAAAAAAATTGCGTATCGAGCGAAGGGCCCGGCGCTTTCGTGATTCTCTTACATACTATATTCTCGTGAATTATACTTTTGCCTCGTCCATACGCGTGATTACGGCGTCGGTACATTGAGCGCGTGAGAGTGCGATGGATCAGCCTCTATTTCCCTGTGGGTACAGCGTAGACCCGTTTTTCTCGCAAGTACAGAGTTCGATAAATATAATATATACCTATACGAGGGAACTCGGCGCCAACAACGGCACTCAAGCGGTATATTATATATAACTGGAGGAGGGCGCCTTGGGTCCCGCGCGTAAATTGCAGGGAGCGGCAATTGCATTATGCAGCGTCGTCGCGGGCGAGCTTTTGCGCCCAGATATATATATACCTATTACCATAAGTGCGGGCGCGTGGACCGAGTGCACGCAAATTCGCCACATAGTGTACAATATATATATGTGTGTGTATATGTGTATGCGTTATATTATGCCCAAAGTGTTACAAACACGACGTATGGGGTAGGTGCGTCCTGTCGCCACGAGGCAATTTTGCCAAACATCTCTCGGCTGATATTTTACACCCTGCCTCCTCAAGGCGAACCTTCGAGTGGCTCTTTTTTCAAACCATGTATATATTATACGTCCGTTGGTGCGTTTGGCCGGGATCAGTCGTCGCTGTGCGTTTATGGTATACATAATACACACTAAAACGCGTGGGCGCGATCCAATAAGTTGCTGGTATGAAAAAAAAATTTACATAAATTCCCCCCACCCCCATGCATCTGTGTAAACATTCGGGCAGCAGGCACGTTTACTCCAAACGTTTTACAACTATTTGGTTTGTTTGCTTCCCTCCTCCCTAAAAGAAGAAGCGCGTGAGACTACATAAGATATTCCCTTTTTTTTTTTTTTTTCAGTGTCGATTCTCACAGACGCCTTGAATGAAGAATAATGTGTTGTTTGTTATACGTACATCACGTTGTCCAAACAGAGTCGACTGCCTTTCTTTTTTCCCTCCTCCGTTCCTGCGCGTGTGTCCTCTACGTGTATTACATATACCGATACAATATGCTTCCTTCTTCCGACCTGTGACTGCGCATGTAATATCCTTACGAGGAGACTCGGCGGATAACGTCGCTGCTTCTTGAAGGATTGCATGCAGGTCTTCGTACGTATAAGGTAATGTAAAGCATTATAGGTACGCCGAGTTGTTGTCACCTGTGTGTCGCATGCGAGGAATGCTATATACCACCTACGAAGAACGGCTGGGTATGTACATAGAATAGACTCTCGCCAACCGGAGCTTGCGAGAGGAAGTTCCCGGACACACGAGTTTAATTTCACCGTTGGGGGCATGTGTGGCACCATTGCGCTGTACCTTACATGCCTTTCATATCTATGTACATGTTCACCGACTGCGGAAGAGGAAATGGGGAAGCAAGAGCTCGAGGTGACCGTGGGGGTAACCCATAGACTCGAATACGGAATGAGCGGCATGACGGACAAAGAGAGAGAGAGAGAGAAATGGTCACAAGATGCACCCTGTGAACGCGTATAATGTGCACCAGAAATAACATTATATACCTGCACGTAAAGGATCACGTGGAATATGT